AGAAAGAAAGAAAGAAAGAAAGAAAGAAAGAAAGAAAGAAAGAAAGAAAGAAAGAAAGAAAGAAAGAGATGGAGGGAGATGAACTGAGACAGAAAGAGAGAAAGAGATGGAGGAAGAGGAAATGAGACAGACAGAAAGAAAGGAAGAAAGAAAGAAAGAAAGACAGACAGACAGACAGACAGAAAGAAAGAAAGAGGGAGATGGAGGGAGATGAAATGAGACAGACAGGAAGGAAGGAAGGAAGGAAGGAAGGAAGGAAGGAAGGAAGGAAGGAAGGAAGGAAGGGATGGAGGGAGATGAACTGAGACAGAAAGAAAGAAAGGGAGGGAGGGAGGGAGAAAGAAGAGAGAGAGGAAGGAAGAGAAAAAAAGAAGGAAGGAAAAGGAAAAGGAAGAAAGAAAAAAGAGGGGGAGGAAGGGAGGGAGAGAGGGAGAGAAAGAAGGAAGAAAAAGGAAAGGAGAAAGGGGAGAGAGAGAAGAGAAAGAAGAAGGGAGGGAGGAAGAAAAAGAAAGAAGGGAAGGAAGGAGAGAAAGGGAGAAAGGGAGGGAGAGAGAAAGAATGGGAGAGAGGAGAGAGAGGGGGAAGGGAGGGAGAAATAAAAAGAAAGGGGGAGGAAGAAAAGGGGGAGAGAAAGAAAAGCAAGCAAGCAAGCAGAGGCCGAAACAAAGTATAAAGGAGCGGATCAAGTTTCTAGCCCTCAGGATAAAACCAAACCTTTTTTTTTTCCCAACCAACTTCTTTTTTTAAAAAAAGGACCAGGGAAATGTTTCAACCTGCATCATCGGATTTAATAGCAGCCAATTAAGGTGGGGTGTCTGAGATGCAAAGGAAGGGGAGGGGCTTTTCCCTTCCACCCCATCCGACGGCTCCGGGGGGGGGGGCAGGTTTGGCCAGGCCAGGCCCCTCCCCTCCCCATAAATCTGGACACCCCCCTCGGTGCGTCCACCACTTTCCCTTGTCCAGCCGTCTCGCCGCACCTCCTCTCTCTTTCATTTTGCAGTAAGTATTCCTCCCTTCTTGCCATCTTTCTCCTTCGGGTTTTTTGTTCCCCCTCTTTTCTCCTTCCGAAGAATTGGGGGGACGTTGGGGAGGAGGAGGAGGAGGAGGAGGAGGAAGGAGTGGGGAGCGGGGGGGGGAATGATCTTCCTCGCACCCCCCCTCCACCCAAAGGAAAAGTTTGGGTTTCTTTTGGAGGCGGGTGGAGAGTAAGGAATTTGTAAAAAAAATGGCTCAGCCAGTCGGGAAAAGTAGGAGAGAAAATAACAAGATAGAGGGGAAAAAAAGAACAGAAAATAACATTTGGGGGGAGGCCTTGGTTATGGTTATCCCTTCCCTTCCCCTTCCTTCCTTCCTTCCTTCCTTCCTTCCTTCCTTCCTTCCTTCCTTCCTTTCCTTCTTTTTCTCTTTCCTTCCTTCCTTTCCTTCTTTTTCTCCCTCCCTCTATCCTCTATCCCTCCCTTTCTTTTTTCTTCCTCCCTTCCTTCCTTTTCTTTCCTTCCTTCTTTTTCTCCCTCCCTCTCTCCTCTATCCCTCCCTTTCTTTTTTCTT